ACTATCGTTAATATTACAAGCACGTGTAATCCTGCAGATTGTAATTCCACGAGTGAAGTAATTCCAGTTGCTGTTAAGCGGATGCAGCAATAAATAAGTCAATAGACGAACAAATAAATGTAAATAAAAATAACGAAAAGGACTGACCATGTTGACAAATGAAAAGCGAAAATATGCGAAGATTCGAAGTGGTTAATTTCCAAAGTGTACAATTTCAAGGCAATTATTTCCAAAATATTTCCGTACGATAAAAAGATCGCACGACGACGTTCAGAAAGGTCCAGGAACGCGTTCCGATCGCCGTGGCGGTTTCAACAGGATTTTCCACGCGGTCCTTAACGTGCATTAACGAGGTAATTAGAATGTTGCCGAAGGTAAGCACCGAATCATAGCGAACACGTTGGAGCCGCGTCGGCGGATCGTTGCCGCATACAATTCTAGAGCGTTTACGAGATCTCCGAACGAGCTTGGAGGGAGAACGGGCCACCGATTCCACAGACTCGCGGCGGTTATTCGAAACGGTATAATGGCGGTAATAAAACGGAAACCGATTGCAGTCCGCGGCGGCCGGATAGAGAGCAAACGAGCCAGAAGAAGAGCGTAACAGGTTGCTACTCATTAATAAATCCGGCCGCTGCTCTCTGGAGCTCGCAACAAACCGTGTTTTCGCGGGCGGCGAGCCGGCCCCGCGAAAGAAACAATGCTTGAAAAGTCATTCTCCTACTTCTGCGGGACCCGGCAGTTGTTCCGTGGTAGACCGAATAAATATTAATGGCGGGACCGTTTACCGCTAGATTCGCCAATAGAAGTTAACGAACACGATGAGGGGAGTACCGTTCAACGCCACTCGTCCAGGAATCTGTGCCGAAGACTCCACGCTCTCCTAACTTCCGTTTCGTCGTTACGAACTTTCCTCGGAAACCGCCGCTCCTAATTGTTCCTCCGTATCTCTTTCTCTCTCTCTCTCTCTCTCTCTCTCTCTCTCTCTGTCTCTCTTTTATTCTCCTCGCGAGTCCTCTCGATCGTGGCTCGATTAGAGCTCCTTCACGCTAATTGCCTTCAATTACCGCTCCGAAAGCTGCCGCGAACCTATTTTTGTGATACAAATTCCAATACGTCATGCACTTTGAGATCCCGCTCGCTTGATTTTGGAAAGCCACGGAATTTCGATTCGGACGGTACAGCTTGTTTTCGGATACAATTAACCCTATATTCATCGAGCGAGACATATTAACCCTTTGCGCTCGAGCGGCGACTCTAAGGCGGCATGAAAAATTGTTCCATCGCGTTGCAAAATCATTTTAACATTACCAAATTTGTTTATATTCAAAAGGATCGTTAAAAGTGTCACGATTGAGTTGCAAAATACAACTTCGCATGTATTAAACTCACTAGATTGTATAAAATGAAAATCGGTCGAGAAAACCGTCTTGGATTTCAAGTTAAAATGGCTCCGACTGCAATAAGGGTTAAATATATAGATATAAAATTGATTATACCTGAAAAGAAAACGAAGGTACGTCAATTTGACACCGCACAGTAATCGGCTCCACTACCAGTGTTCGGATGAAACTCGATGGCAACCGTCGTGGGCCAGAAATGTGTCAAGAAGTATACCGACGAGGTTAATGCGATAGTCATGCTAATCGTCGGCGAGCGATACTTCCGCTATCGCCATAGAGAGCATTTAATTGGCTTGTGGAAACAAATCAACCGGAAGTCGATTGGTCGCTTTATCCCGTACTTATTTACACACCTCCGACACGACCGGCCAGTTATCAGCAAAAGGAGAGTAGATCGTGAAAGCAGCTAACTAATACCGCGCACACCAATTAGATCAACCTGTCTGATTTTTCTAAAACACCGGTCTCCTAAGAGCATCCGTAGAACCAATCGCCGAAAGTTAGCCTCTTGGATTCCGCTCGGAATCCTCTAGAGCCGAAATTATCGCAACGAATTCCTTTAACTCGAATTCTAGAGACCGATAAGGGTGAAGTTTCCTGATACGAGGAGCTCGCCTCTCGGTATGAGACCCTAGCTTATTTCCGTGGTAGATGTGCCGAGTGCACCGTTGCCGTGAAGTCCATTAAATGTCACGTGACTCCGTCCGTGACGTCACGGATGAGCAAGTTGCGCACGGCGGGGGACAGAGGGCGGCGTAACCGACTTTACCCCCACTCTGCTGAACCGCTTGCCCGTGACGTCACGGATGCAGTTACGCGACATTCGAGGGAATTGACGGCAACGCGGTGGCCGTCGCATCGACTTTGTTATTAATATCAGATTTACCGGAGCACAAGAAACAGCTGTTTTACATTGGTTTATAAAAGTAACGACGAGACATTTATTCTGATTTTTAACAAGTGATGATAACTTGTTAAACATTTGCCGTAGGTAACATACAATTGAATAAATGAGCCGTTTATTTCGAAAGTGGCATAAGTCACTTTGTTTTTAAGTCGATATATTTAAGGGTTTGCGTTTTAACACGTTTAAAAGTATGGATGCTAACTTTCGAGAAGATTTACTTGTATTTGCTATCTCAGGATACTGATATTTTTCTCAATATAAATAATTTCGTATAAACATTAAAAAATCACCACTTTTCATTACGGTAAAGTGACTTATGCCACTTTCAAAATAAACGGCTCAAATAACTCGTAAATGTATCTTTTTATCTCTATGAGTAATCGTAACTTGAAAAATTAGTGACCCGTCATCTTTCGATGTTTCGTCCGCTTATCGGCGTCCAAGTTAGCCTAACATCGTGGAAAAGCATATCCGTAGAATACGTTGCGAAAAGTTTTCGAAGCAGTTCGATTATGTTACGAATATCTTAAAGATGCTAAGCGTACGATTATTTTTGTAAACGTTGCCGCATGGCGCATTCAATTTCTGGGGATGGAAGAAATTTTGTACGTCGATGAGAATAAATTTTCTGATAATGCCGAACTGGGTCTCGTATCAACCCATTTGCATCATTCGGATAAGTGGAACATTGGCCCGNAAGTCGATATATTTAAGGGTTTGCGTTTTAACACGTTTAAAAGTATGGATGCTAACTTTCGAGAAGATTTACTTGTATTTGCTATCTCAGGATACTGATATTTTTCTCAATATAAATAATTTCGTATAAACATTAAAAAATCACCACTTTTCATTACGGTAAAGTGACTTATGCCACTTTCAAAATAAACGGCTCAAATAACTCGTAAATGTATCTTTTTATCTCTATGAGTAATCGTAACTTGAAAAATTAGTGACCCGTCATCTTTCGATGTTTCGTCCGCTTATCGGCGTCCAAGTTAGCCTAACATCGTGGAAAAGCATATCCGTAGAATACGTTGCGAAAAGTTTTCGAAGCAGTTCGATTATGTTACGAATATCTTAAAGATGCTAAGCGTACGATTATTTTTGTAAACGTTGCCGCATGGCGCATTCAATTTCTGGGGATGGAAGAAATTTTGTACGTCGATGAGAATAAATTTTCTGATAATGCCGAACTGGGTCTCGTATCAACCCATTTGCATCATTCGGATAAGTGGAACATTGGCCCGCATCACCGAAATCCGCGCATACACGAGCTTACGATGCAAATGGGTTAAGGACACATTTCTCAAGTCTGCGATGAAACGGTTTTATCACGAAGAAACGGAATGTATTTGTTTCTCCAGTGTTTTTCCGGTAGATTGCAAAAGAACGCGTATTTTCAACCCCTCGCGCTGTAACAACGCGTCGGACTCGAGACGAGGATTTCATACGTAATCTACCGCGCCTGCGCGATCGTTCAATTTATGTAAATCGAAACCGAATTTGATACTTCCGTTACCAAAGTCTGGAAACGAAAGTAAATGAGGGTGCGAAAGAAACAAATACTGTCACTTTCCGTTAAGAAAATGATTAAGGGCGAAGAAGTGCTGTAATTAACAGAGTTGTAAAAGAAATCTTGGTGCAGGGGGTTAAACGTGTATCTAATTTTCGTAGTCTTCGAATAATAATCTAATGTGTATTATATGCATAACGTGCATCTAATTTAATAATCTTTAATAATCTCAAACTACCAGGATTTATTTAAACTTCGTATCATTTTCATCATAATATATGCTTGAATAAAGAAGTGTGTGTGTGCCTAAAAATTTCTATTAGAAATATTTTTATAATATCAGAAAACTGTAAAAGAAAGATCAGAAACCGGTCAATTCGACTGGTTCGGTAGTTCCAGCGTTAATCGAAAATGCCGATTCTAAAAGAAAAAAAACGATGGGTCCCGCATTAGGCAGCTTTACCCAACTCGGCGCGCGAACTAGTCCAAGTCAATTAAAAGACGCGCAGCGGATTCGCGCGGCCGTTCGTAACAATATGCAGCGAAACTAGGCCCCGCCGTGAACGGCGTCGTCGTTTTCCACGGGGGCGCGCGAATGGCGGCGCGGAACCAATGCTAATCACCGCCGCGCCAGTAATTCCCGGGAGCAGCCGCGACTTAATTACCGGCGGAGAGAGGGAAAAAAAGGCAGGCACGGCCGCGTGAATTCGCTCGTAATAAGTGAAAGTGCCGGCTGCTCTCGGCGCGGCTTCTTTTGTGATGGAAGGCAAGGTCCCGCCGTTCTCGGCATTGGCAATGGGCGCAGGCCAGCGAATCGCGAATTCTCCCGCCAGAAATGGATTATCTGCTCGCGTGCCTATCCCGTATCTTCGACAGGATCGCTTATGAGAAAGCTTTATCGCGGCCGAACGAGGAAGAGCCGCCGCTTTCACCCGGGCTCTCCCGATACGACGCCCACGCGATGCAAGCGTTAGACAGGATGACTCGATTCCGAAGGAGATTCGCTAATTTTATTAGATCCGCACGAACGCTACTCCTTGCCCGAGCTATTTTAAAAAGCGAAGCTAATTTCCCCGGGCGAGGTAAGAACGACGTTCTAGGAGAGGACGCGAAAAAGTTGCCGGTTTTTGATGCTGTTTTCGTGGGTCTCTGTTCCACGAGGGATGTTTCTACTTACAGCTGCAGAAAGAATGAAGAGGAATCGACGACTGGGGTGAACCTGTGGACTCGAACTACGATTCCGGGTTTGATATCTGTGAGAAGAAAAACGATGGTGATGTTAGTTTTATTGTAAATTGTTATTCGGCAAGGAAATTATAACTATTAATGATACAAGAAGAAGATTGTGTATTTACAGTGGTCCACAAAAGTATCTGTACACTTTTTAAAACGCGATAGCTTTTTTGAAACTGGACTAAGCGACTTAAATTTTTTTAAACGATACAGGGTTTAGTATACTAGACGATGACTAAGATGTATTTTTAAAATTTTGCTATTATTTGGAATGACAAAAGAAAATAAAATACTCCAATTTTTTAACTTTTTTATCTGAGCCTAGAATGAAAATTTAAAAAATGCCTTTTGTAGGTCTCGGTAAGTTGTATGCGTGCGAAAAATTTAATCGAAGTTTTAAAAAATTTTAAAATAATAACCTCTAACATCTAAAAGAAATTCAAGTCACTTAGTCCAGTTTCAAAAAAGTTATTCAATCTATTAATACAAAATTGTCTGCGTCAGCTCTAAGTACGTATGTATTTCCAAAAGAAACAATTCTTATGTTGTACCCAACATGTCAACCAATGTTTGCATAGATCACTCTGTTATCTAGAAGATCTAGTTGTACCAACGGCAAGCTGTTCAAGCCTGAGAAAACAGTTTTCGACTAATTCGGATAAAACATCGAACAAACGTTTCAAATGAAATTTTACTCTTGAAATATTTCGAACAAATTCTTCGAATAAAATCTTATTCGGATAATACACGTCGAATATATATAAATACTTCGAATAAATCTTTATTCGTATAATATCTCGAACAAATTCTTCGAATATCTCGAAGAATTCTTCCTTGGCCTCGGTAAATTTAAATGTCAATTTTCAAAAACGTGATCGTCCTAGCAGTGGACCATTAAATTGGAGCGGCAAAGAGTTGATATAAAATGCCCATTGTCTGGCTTGGAGAAAAACGATGGAACATACGAGTTATTCGAATAGAATACGCCTAACTTCGATAGCACGGGCTAAGGACTCTAAAAAGATCGACCCTCGGTGTGCATCCGAAGGGCCAAAATCCGAAAAATTGTACGAAAATCGTGAGAAGAGAGGGCCCCGAATGTTGCAATATCTGAAATTGGAAGCAATCTCCATCCCGTGGATCCTGTTTGTCGGGGAAGATCCCCGGAGCTTGGAATTCCGTGGAAACGCGTCTTCTTAGAGCATTTTTGCGCAACGCCGCGTTTCCTTTCGCGACCGAACGCCCCCGCGTTCCACATAGTTTTTCCTGAGCAGCCCGCACCCCACGCTCGCGATGCTAATTTTCCCGAGGCACGGCGTGGCATCGCGCCGCATGGAAAGTGGCCGATGAAGACGAGGAGAACGAGGAGCAGGAGGAGGAGGACGCGGGAGCGAGAGAATTCCTCCGCTGGATCTCGCACGCGAACTGCTCGTCGACACGCGTACCGATCGCCATCGCGGACACTTTCTAACCCGTCGATTTGCTCAAGGTTAATACGTGAACGTCGAACCCGTTTCCAGCTTCTAGGCCGACCCCAGACGCTAGCGGAGCGGATCTCTCGGCGCGACGCTTTCGGGACTAATGGCGGACGGGCCCCGGCGATCGTTCCCCCTTATTTGCATCGAAAAATTGAATCCGAGGGAATCGCGTGCATACAGAGTGGTTAGTCTACCTGGCTATTGGCCATGGAATTGCCGCTGCAGCCGTGCAGAATGCTACGGGATATGCGTTCGGGTCTAAGGTGCATCTAGGGACTGCCTTTTAAAAAACAAAGGGTGCCCCGCGCATGGTAATCGGCGATTTTGCATTTGTATACTGTTTGGGATCGACCGATGCCGATGCAGAAGCATCGTGGACCGGACTTTCTGTTTGGTGTATGGAATATTTAATTTCGCAATGGAGGGTTTTATCTTTCTCGGGAAGTTTTCGGGGACGGACTCATGGAAATCGACCTAGAATTAGCAAATTGACAATGCTCATTTTCTTTTCTTTCTTATCGCGATATCATCGCATCTGTCATCGTCGCGTTTCGTACATTTAAAATAATGATGCTGAATAATTTAACTCTTCGCTGCATCTAACCTCTAAATCTGAACGCTCCCAAATGCTTTTGCTTTATTCGAATGTATATATTGAAGAATTAATTTTGCTTTATTCTGTGGTCGAAATATAGACCACTGTTGTCCATAGATTATTTTATGCAAAAATTTATTAAGAATCGGATAAAAAGATCATTTCAACGATGGCCCTTAGAATTCATTTTTTACGATTTCTTCTCATCGGCTAGCCGTAAAATTCCACTCGGTCTCGCTAAATTTAAACGTTAATTGTCGAAATCGTGATCGTCCAAGCGGTGGATCTTTAGATGTGAGCGCGGCAAAGGGTTAATACAAAAATGACCATTACCTAGCTTGGAGAAAGGCGAGGGAACATACTCGGAAAATGTCGAGCCAAAAAAAATAGTCAAATGAAAAATCGGTGCAGGGGCTGAACGCACGAACTGACACGTGTAACAGGATTAAGATTAATATTTGCAGAAAGCCCATTACCTAGCTTGGGAACGCTGTAAAATGCTGGAAGAATGTCACGTGTGGGTGACACGTATGAATGAGCAACTATAAAGAGGTACGGAATAATATTTACGCAAGTACCATTGTGTAGCTTGGAAAAAGATCAAGAGAGAGGGAGAGAGAGAAAGAGATACTCGAGGAACGTCAAAGCCGAGGACTGTAGTAGAATCGAGTATAATATTTAAGAAAGTGCCATTAACAAACGTAGGCAAAGATCAAGTGAAATACTTGGAGAATGTCAAGCGTGGAGGATGAGCTGCGATTCAACGCGCGGGAGGACGACCGTAGGCGTGTTCCGAACAATATTTCGAAAAGTGCCATTATACGGCTCGAAGGAGATTACTATTATCTAGCGAGACGTTCGCAAAATGTCAAATGCCACGGATGAACACGATATTTCGCTGAAATCGAAAATTCTATTCTTGAAAAAGAATACGCGGATCGTTAAGCGGAGGGGTCAATCGCGTGAATAAATTTGTACAAAAGGATTCGGGGGAGTAACATTTGGCGAAGTGCCGTTGTCTAGTCGGGAGAGAAACGTAGACGCGAATGAACGCGTGCAAAAAGGCTCGGTATAATATTTGGAGAAGTGCCATTATGCGGCTAGAAGGAAGACCGAGTAAACTACTCGTATAGAATGTCAAGAAACAAGGATCAAAAGGATGAACGAGCCTCTACATAAAACATTCAGAATACATTTGGCGAAGTGGCATTAAGCCAGAACAAAGAGACACAGCGAAATACGTAGAACATCGGGACCCCGAGAAACAAGGATCGGACGAGCGAACGGTTTGGAGAGGACTCCGGGAGAAAATTGAAAAGAGTGGCATTATCCGGCAAGGAGCAAGACGAAGCAGGAACGTCAATCGCGGACGTGTCAGGAAGAAAATTCGATTCGCTTCCGTCACGTCGAGATTCGGATTAGCAGCCGGGAGACAATGGCCGCGGTGAATGTCGGTCGATCGACGTGACCTTTGAGCCGCTGACATTTTAACCCTAAGAAGACGGTGGAGCCAGGCGGGGCAGCTGGCGGGACAGGGGGGCGAAGGCTCGTGACGTACGATCGGTGAAATCGAACCGGAGTACGTCGACGAGCTTGCGGATTGATTGACCTTACTGTGGGGAGAGAGAGAGAGAGAGAGAGAGAGAGAGAGAGAGCTTTCGCTTCGACGAACCGTATTACCGCGCCCCGTTTCGTGTTCCATGAAAGTCAATGCTGCCCGATTTAGAGGTGAGGGCACGCTCCTCTCGGAGCTCCTCTCGGAGATCCTCTCGGCCGCGCTCGCCGGGCTCTATATACAGGGTGTCCCAAAATTATCGTATTTCCGAGAAATGAAGGGTTCCAGAGATTATT